CCCTGTCTAAAAATAATAAAATAAACGACACATCTCATTATTTGTTTATTTTTATTGGGTCATCGGAAAAGTCATGACACGTTTAAAAATATGCCATTAGTTTTCCGAAGACCCAGTCGCCTTGCGTTGGGGCAAATGTGTGCATCAGAGAAACCCGCAGGGGGGTGGCCGCTCTGCATCCTCTCCCTCCATTCTCCTCTCAGGATTGGGGCATGCACGCGCACGCGCACACACTGCTGTGCTTTCAAGTTGCTTGGAACAGGCCTTGAGCCCCTCAGTCGGCTACGTGGGTCCAGCCACATTAACCCACACCGCCTGCTGCTCCTCTCAATATTAATTTATCCAGCCGATGCGGAAAGGCACTGGCCAGTAGTTGCTCGTTTTGTTAAAAGTCCAACACCATCGGCAGCACGGAGCAGAGATGTGAAGCACACCCACCGCGCTCCCCGTCGCACGCCTGTCTTCTGTGCGTAGGACAGTGGGGACGCAGCCGCGTGCTCGCCTCCTAATGTGTTAGGGAAACGTAGCATTGAGTAAGCAGGAAAGAGCTGCACGTTTTGGCCATGCGAGTCATCTACATTCAGCCACCTAAATGGGTCATAGTGTTTTTGTCTTTAAACCCATCAGGCTTGTAAAGGATCGGGCTGCAGCTCCGTTTCTAAGAAATCGTTCTCTTTATGGAGAAGCTGCAACTCCGGCCTTTCAGGCAGAGCGGTGTCACCTCCGCAAGGACTGGAGGAAGGAAGGTGTCAAGAGTCACCCACAGTCAAGCCGTGTGTGCTGTATGCACGATTTGATTTGCTTGGGGAACTTCCCAAGGGTTTGCCAAGAAGTGCTCAAGTTGAAGTTCAGTCTTTCTGGTGGGTAACACGAGTGGTCTAGACCTTCTTGACAGGTGTCTGACTTACAGCCCCGGGCGACTGTGGTCTCTGGGCTTGTCAGGGCATCACCTCTGAATTCTGTGACTCCGACTTCCTTAGAACAAAACAAACCAGCCCTCTGGATGTCTTCCTGCCCTGCCGGCAGGGTGATGTCAGAGGCAGGGCATTTTATTCTTAGAATGGGAAATTTAATTTAATTTTAGGAAATAGCTTATGGTTTGGCTTAGATGGAAGCACTGGACCTCTCAGAGGTCGTAGTTACTATTTTAGACCAAGTCAAAAAGAGATGAGAAATCCTGAACTGTGTACTCTTCATGTAACACGAGATGCCAGGGAGATGCTCTCGAACATATGTAACTACCGAACGGTTACTCCAGATATCTTGGCTTTTTTGTTTTTGTTTTGTTTTGTTTTGTTTTGTTTTTGGAGAGGCTTTTGCTATAGGGTGCATGTACTCGCCAGAAAGACAGAGACAGAGAGACAGAAAGCAAAAAGTCACCCCCTGGGGGGATGGCCACACCGCAATCCTTTCTCCTCTATTCTCCTCTCGGGATCTTGGGCACGCATGCACACATGCCCGGTGTGAGTTTAAGCCATCAGGTCCAGGACTTGAACCACGGTCAGCCATATGCCGGTCCCGACTCCAGATACGGTTTTTAAAAGCCTTAAAAAAAATTTTTTTAAACATATTTGTTATAACGAGTAACTGGCCCAACACTAGTTTTAGAGGACTCTGAAATTCCCTTGAAAAATAAACATGACAGCTTACCAAACAAAAATAGATTTTCCGTAATCAACCTAGGTTAGAACAATGGCACATTCCTAGGCCTGAGATTCTGAAGTGGAGATTAATTCAAAGCAGCTGGAAGCCGAGACTGAGAGAAGACAGTCCTGCCTTCCTGCTGTGGCTTTGCAGAACTGAAGGTGCAGCGGTGTCTGACTGCATTTGGACAGAGAGTGAGAGAGTCTGTAGAAATAGACTTTTGCAATCTTCCGTCCAAGCTTTGGCATTAGAAAAAAAACCACTTCCAGAGAGATTAATGCTCTTTTAGCGCACAAGGTAGACCCATTCCCTCTAAAGTCTGTCTGGGTTTCTTCCTTCTCAGCCAACCGTCCAGGCCAGATAGTAGACATGTTTGCAACTGGTGGTCCCTAGTTATGTTCAGAATCTCCGCACGTAAACAGGGTAAGGAAGTTAGGAGACTTAGGGTAAACATGCTTACAAAAGCAGTTACATAGGGCCGGCCCCATGGCCTAGTGGTTAAGGCAGCTGGACCTCACGTGGCCAGTTGTTTGAGTCCTGGACCTGGTGACTTAAATCCCACCAGGTCGGCGTGTGCGTGCCCCATATCCTGTCAGGATGGCGAAGTGGAGAAAGGGTGGGGGTGACCGTGGCCCACTGGAGGGTGCTCCTCCCACCCCTTGTGAGCACACATGCCCTCTGGTGATTTTTTTTTTTTCTAAAAAGCAATTATATAGTCAAAACTAAAACATCAGGGACTCTGGAGAGCTGAGCGGGGGAGCACAGCCACTTTCGGGCAGATGGTGCTGGGGTACCTCCGGCCCAGCCCTTGGCTAAACGCTCCACAGCCGGGAGGAGAGGATCCTGTCAGGAAGCTCCCCTGCTCATGTGCGTGTGCGTGTGTGTACACATACGTGTGTCACAGACTGACACGGGGGTGATGCGGGGCCACTCTGACCTGTGTGTCAGAATAAGTGGGGGAACTCTTTATCTTATTACTTGCCACTGTCCTTTACAGAAGAGAGGAAGAAACCTCCCCTGGGTTTTTCTGAGACTTTCCCAGGACAGCTTATGAATGAAACAGAGAATCTTTTAGACACGTGAGGTCTATAGGGGAACTTCTTTGCTTTTGTTTTATATTCATGACAAATGACAAATGGTAAAACTAGGTCATTGAAAGAGTTAAAAGGGTTTTTGTGCCAGGCCTGGAGGGGACAGATGGGAGGCACGCAGGTGGGAAGGCTGCTCCCGAAAGCACGCGAGGCTGCTGCTGTTGCAAGGACGGGCTTTCGGGTGGCTTGGGATGCGTGTTTTGGGGACCAGGTGACTGTTCACAGTAGACAGCCAGCAGCGGGAGCCGGAGCAGATGGCCAGGAAGGGCGTCAGCAGGCCACCGACAAAGAGGACGTTGTGGCAGCTAAGTAAGCCCAGGCAAAAGAGAAGCAGGTACAAAGGTCTGGGGAGACCACGGCCTAGAAACGCAGAAGCAGGGTCGCGGGCCGTACCTTAGTTGGGAAGTGTCTGTGCGAACAGGGAAGGAGGTAAAGGAAGCCTGCCCTGTCGCCGCCCTGCCACCAGTGAGCTGTGAGTCAGACGGTCGAGGAAGTGGGTCCTGCAAGTCAGAGGAGGAAACCAATGAAGAACGCTGAGGTGATAAATAAGTAAATGCGCAAAAAACCCGTGGGAGCCGTCCAGTTCTGAGACCCCACGGGGGCAGTGACCTCCGCGGTCCTCCTTGTCCGCCTTTGAAGGTTTCTGTGCACTTTCTTCCTCCCTCCCGTTCTTGTCCCTGTCACATTTCACCCAATTTCCCAGGGTACTGGGTAACCCCGAACAAACGGGCAGCCCGCCCCGAGGTGCTCTGGGCGCGTGGGCGCGTGGCCTTTCCCCACCGTGTCTCTGGCTGGCGTGTGAGTTCAGAGTCACAGGGCCAGGCCCCGGCCAGGGGCGCTCTCTGCTGTGCGGGTCGCAGTCGTGTGGGCGCCATGATGGTGGTCAGGTCTGGGTGGTTAAGAGCGTGGCAGGCTCTCAAAGCCACGAGAGGCTTTGGGGTTCATGGACGATGTTGTTAGAGCTTTAAATCGACTGTGCGGATCGTCCGGGTTGCCGCCCCCTTTCCTGCCTGCGATTAGCCACACCGAGTTAGCAAAGAGAAACAAACTTAATTCATTTTCTTACTGACCTTTTGGGAGAAAAGCAATGCAGTAAAACACAAAGTGGCACCAAACAGGGGGATCACATTAAAGGCACAAAGAGGGTGCCATCCCTACTGCGTCAGTAAACACGGCGGGCGTTTAGGGCCCAGGGCAGCGGCCCAGGCAGCGGGGTGCTGCTGCTGGAGCCCCGTGGAGGCCTTGGAAGCTGTGGGGCCATGTCCAGGGCCTGTCTGAACACACCAGCACCGCTGCCATGCCTGCCAGCCCGACTCGCTGTAGGGCTGGGAGGGAGGACTGTGGCGTAAAGGGGACAAACCCCCCACACCCCTGCTTTTTCTCTCAGGAAATAAACTAAGGGAAGTGCACTTAAGTTCATGAACCCCTTTGAGAATTGAATTAAATAATTATGGCGGCTGGCAGGTGGCGTGGTGGTTAAGGGAGAGCTGGACTTCCACATGGCCGACCGCCGTTCAAGTCCCGGACCTGGCGGCTTGCTTTCTCACTTTCCATCTCTCTCTCTTTTCTCTCTCTGTTCCTGTCTGGTCAAATTAAAATAAAATAAATAAAGTTAAATAAAAGAATTCTTTAAAAAATAAAGTTAAAAACATTATGGATTTCCCCCCCTCCTCAAAAAAGGAAGAGGGGCCAGCAGGTGGCATGGTGGTTGAGGTGCTGAACTCCCACGTGACCAACTGCAGTTCAAGTCCCAGACCCAGCAACTTGAAACTCATGCTGGGCACGTGTGCGTGCGTGCCCACAGTCCCAAGATGCGAATAGAGAAGAAGGGATTGCAGTGTGCCCTTCCCCCCGGGGAGGTGATCTCTCGCTTTTTGTCTCTCTAACAAGTACAGGCACCCTATAGCAAAAATCTCTCAAAACAAAACAAAACAAGAAACAAAGAAAGAAAGAAAGAAAGAGACATGGGAGCGTAAGTCCCCACGAGGGCCCCCCGGGTGGCGTAACAGTGAGTCAGCACAAGTGCAGATCGCAGGGAGTCACCGCGCTTGCCTGTGTCCGACTAGAAACTGCGAGCCACGGTGACACCGCAGAGAACGGCGCGGTCTGCGGCAAACTAGGGTGCACGTTCCTGAGGGAAAGGAAATTCAAACTCAGAGCACTTTTAAAAATAGCACCTGCCAGATGCACGCGAGGTGAAGTAGGGCCCTCGGCCCCCGCGTGCGGTTCCAGGCTTTATCTGTGATGTGTTCATGTTTTCCCCAGGCTCGACAGCAAGCTCAGATTCGTCACCAAATGGCAGAGGACAGCAAAGCCGACTACTCTTCAATCCTTCAGAAGTTCAACCAGGAGCAGCACGAGTACTACCATACTCACATACCCAACATCTTCCAGGTAAGCCGCTCGCCCTCGGAGCGCACGCTCTCAGAGCGCACTGCTTGATTTGCTTCCGAACACGTCACTTCTGAATCACAAGCTGTACCTGAATTCCAAGTGTTTATACAATTCCCAATGTCTCCTAAATCAGTTCTGTATGTATGTATGTATGTATGTATGTATTTATGTATGTATTGGAGAAGTTTTTGCTGTAGGGTGCATGCGCTTGCCAAAAAGAGAGAGAGACAGAGAGATGGAAAGTGAGAAATCACCCCCCAGTGGGGATGGCCACGCCACAGTCCCTTCTCTTCCATTCTCCTCTTGGGATCTTGGGCACACACACGCACGTGCCTGGTGTGAGTTTAAGCCACCAGGTCCGAGACTTGAACCGCGGTCGACTACGTGGGAGTCCAGCGACATAGCTGTTATACTAACTGCTGGTCCCAATCAGTTCTTTTTATATATTTTTTATGTTTTTGTTATATAGTGCAAGAGCTCACCAGAGAGAGAGAGGGCAAGAGAGAAAGGGAAAGTGAGAAATCACCCGAGGGGGAATGGCCATGCAGCAATCCCATCTCCTCCATTCTCCTCTTGGGATTTTGGACACACATGCCCAACGCGATTTTTTTTTTCCTTTTTTTTTGGAGAGGTTTTTGCTATAGGGCACGTGCGCTCGCCAGACAGACAGAGAGAGACAGAAAGCAAGAAATCACCCCCCAGGGGGGATGGCCATGCCGCAATCCCTTCTCCTCCATTCTCGTCTCGGAATCTTGGGCACGCACACACACGTGCCTGGTGTGAGTTCAAGCCACCGGGTCCGGAACATGAACCGCGGTCTACTACATGGGAGTCCAGCGACACAGCCATTACGCTAACTGCTGGTTCCCCCAACACGATTTTTCACACCCGGGTCTGAGACTCAAACCATGGCTGACCATGTGAGAGTCCAGCACCTTAACCACTACGCCACCTGCTGCCCCTTACTGAACCACTTCTCACAGCATGAGAATGAAATGTAGTCTTAATCTCAAGATTAATCAACAGCCTTTGCAGACTTCCTCTGTTTGTACCTGCAACTTTTTCCCCAGTCTTAGAACTGTGATTCTTAAACTAATGCTCTACTTGCTAAAAAGCAAAAGTGCCAAGTTGACTTGAGGAGTTGGAGCAACCTACATCCTGTCGTAGGATTTGAACACATGACAGTTCATTCCTTTGGATAGTTTTTTCTTTCAGCTATTTAGGTGGTCAAAAATTCTGTGAGAAAAGGTAGACACAAAAGATAGTCTCTTTGGGGACTCTTTTACTACTTTGTAGTTGGAGAAAAAAAGTAGTGAATGTTTACTTCGCAGTGTCCACGCCCACTACGGGCTCGATCTTCCAAACCATAAAAGGCCAGAGCACGCATTAGGCCTCGGCCCGTGTGGAGACCGCTACCCAGATTCTGTGCTTCCGATCAAGGGTACAGGAGCAGATGAGAGTGGAGAGGATGCCGCGGGTGATCAGACGGCTGAGCTTGGCGTGGTTACGCAGCTGGAAGGGAACTGCCGAAGTGTCCCTCTGGGTGCCTGGCAGTTTATGAAACACAGCCGTACGCTGTTTACCCGCAGGAACACGCTCTGAGGAGTGCGTTGCTAGGCAATTTTGTTGTTGTGTGAGCATCAGAGAGTGCACATCCACAAACCCAGATGGGGTATGGTACAGCCTGTTAGGATCTTACGGGACCACTGCCATCTCCGTGGCCCGTCCTTGACTGAAGCGCCCTGGGGGGGTGCGTGACTGTATGAGGGACCTTTTAAAAATTCATGGGAAATGCATATTACCAAGAAGCTGTGCATGGGGGTCTGGGGCTCCAAAACAAGCTCATGCTTTCATTTTTTTCCATGGACTCTTTGAAGCCCCCTCACGTGTGCCAGGTTGCTCCCCTGCTAGCCCCATTTCCCTCCTAGAGAATTTACTAGAAGTAACAGCTCTGCCAAAAAACAACCTCCTGAAATAACAGGGGCCAAACTTATCGCATTCAAAATCTTCCGTTACAGAAAATACAAGAGATGGAGGAGAGGAGGATCGTGAAGATCGGAGAATCGATGAAGACGTACGCTGAGGTGGACCGGCAGGTGATCCCCATCATCGGGAAATGCTTGGATGGGATAGTAAAGGCGGCTGAGTCCATCGACCAGAAGAACGTAAGTGGCACCCCTTGGCTTCGTCTGCAAGGAGCTGCTTGCGGTTCCCTCATTTCTTCCCTCCGCCTTCCCCAGCGACCTCACACAGCCTTCTTGTGCTGGGTCGCTGCCCGCTGCGGTCACAAGTTCTTTCCAGCGGTGGCAACACCACCTGAGCGTGCTTCTCCTAAGCCCTCTGATTGGGATTTGGCCCTCTAATTACTTGTGCAGAAAGCACGTTTAGGCCGTCACTTGTCTGAGACATCCCACTGTCACACTGGAGTGCTTTCCTGTCAGGCGGCTGAGTCACTCCCCAACCTGGGATCTGATTGATTTCTGGAAAAAGGCAAAGCCTATGTTTTCTCTAGTGCAGTTTCTTTTACGCATGATTGGCATTTGAGGTCAAGTCTGTATTTGCTGTGGGGATCCCCCGTCCTGCACTGCAGGGGTCGAGCAGTCCCTGGCCTCTGCTCGCTGGATCCCGACTGCACACTCAGCGTAGAGACCCAGAGTGTCTCCAGGTGCCGGATTCCCCGGGGACAAAATCATCTCCTTTTCAGAAAACTGCTTTAGGGCCCGTGTGATCGGTTTGATTCCTTTCCTAGAAACCTACTCCCTCTCAACGAAGGTATCAGCCAGAATCCCAGCACAGGCTTTTGCAAACATTTATTAATTTGCAAAGCCAAATATTAAATAGAAAAGCATAACATAAAACATAAGGTCTCTGGGTCATAAAGACTTCTTAAAATATGAGTCCAGGGAAGGGCTTCTTTTCCCTGTGGAAAGATCGCCTTGCCACGGCATGCAGATTCCTCGTTGCCCTAAGAACGGTTGACAGGCCCTCTGCAAAAGTCCTGTCAGTGAAAGAAACAAAATGAAAACAGCAAAACGCGTTTCGTCTGTCCAGCGTGCATGACTTCGAAATGTGTTAAGTGGTAAATATTTGTAGGAGGGATAGTTCCTAGGTAACAGGTGTGGTTTTTCTTTGTTTTGTTTTGATTTCTTGCTCTGGGGCCAGTCAGTGGCATGGCAGTTAAGGCAGCTGGACCCCCTATGGCCGACAGCATGGTATGAGTCCTGGATCCAGTGGCTTGAAAAAAACACTCTGGACACATGTATGTGCGTGCCCCAAATTCCGAGTGAGAGTCCAGCACCTTAACCACCATGCCACCTGCTGGCCCAATGTAAGTTTTGTTATTGGGGGCTGGTCTCCTCTCCCTCCCTCCCCCTCCTTTCCCTTCCTCCTCTCTCCTCCCTTCTCCCCTCCCCTCTCCACAGCTAGACCACTGTCAGCCACCTAAACCACCATGCCCTGGCTGCCCCTCGCAATTTTGGCTTCTTACATTAGAAGCTTAGACGTTTCTTTCCCTTGACGTTTGACAGTCTCACAGGTTATGTCCAAGGGGTGACTTCCCTTACCAGTTTCATTTGGGGACTCATGAGCCACCTAGATTTAAGGACTTCTCCCCGGATGGGACCCTAGTTTTCCCGAATATCACTGACAGTTCTTCTACCCAGGATGTTTGTGTTGCCAAATCCCAGGTCCACACTAAGTCTGCATCTGCCTGGACCTCAGCAGTGCTGCCCCTCCCCACACGCCTCCCACCTGCTCCTCCTGCCGCGGCTTCCCAGGAAG